GGGGGGACCTGAAGTAGCAGTCTGGCTACCTGCTGACCTGGTTAACCATTACAAGAACCAGAAGCTGGGATTTATGGTTTCTTTTTTAGGGGAGAAGGGGCTCGGGAACGAGTCCATGATAAATGCACCCTTGTCCACCTGTCCCAGGAAACCCATCGACGTGTGTTTAAGCCTCCGAGAGGCCAGCCTTGTGGGCACCCTTGCTGGGTTTAGATGTGACTCCACTGCAGCTTTGGTTGATGGTCAAAATGGAAGGTTGGTTTTTAAAAAAAATTTTATTGGGGGCTCATACAACTCATCACAATCCATACATCCATTCTGTCAAGCACATTTGTTGCCATCAAATTCTCAAAACATTTGCTGTCTACTTGAACCCTTGGTATCAGCTCAGTTTTTTCCCTCCCTCCCCACCCCGCCATGAAAATTTATAAATTATTATTTTGTCATGTCTTGCACTGTCCGATGTCTCCCTTCACCCACTTTCCATTGGAAGAAGGGCTTCTAACACCTGGTGATGTGTGTGCTGTGGGAATCATGGCAAGGCTGGATCTGCTAGCCAGGCCTAGGCTTGAGCGGCCTCAAAGCCGGTTCAGCCACACAGCGGATCCAACTGCTCATTTCCTGGAAGGGACGTGGACCTGCCCGAGGTCTGCTCTAACTACAATGCAGAATCACGGTAGGTACAACCCTCCATCTGACTGGAGACCTAGGGAGCCTTGAGGTCAGCTGGTCAGATAGCCTTTCTGAGGACCCAGAGAGCCTGGCCCCATTACTAAGAAGTAGCAGGGCCCAGAGTTGAACTCACTTGAGTCCCAGGTCACTACTGTTCTTAATAGCACAGAGCTCTTGTTTGGGGGTAAGTGCCTTGGCCTTTGGAACCAAAGATTTGAACCCACTCCACTGCTGAACCCAAGTTTTCTGCAGTCAACACCCCATCCCAGGCCTCTTCCTAGAGATCGTTACTGAGTAGGTGCCCTGACAGTTCTCACATGGCTAGGGCCAGGGAAACGAAAGGGCAAGCTATTTGTGGCTACAGCTTGTGGGAGTGTTTAGTTGGCAGCTCTACCAACTTGGAGAACACCGCTCCCTGAAGCTGCCTCCTGTAAAGCACGTGTGCAGGCATCAAGGGACTGTCTTGCTGGGCTGCAAGCTCTGGTTGGTGTGCTCGCTGCATGGTTGCTCTGCTGCCTGGCCAGGGCATTTGGAGCCTCACGCATGTACTCCAGCCTAGCGGCAGTTCCAGAGCTTGGCACCTAGTGTGCTGCCTGAAGGTTGTTTGGAAGGACCAAGAAACTCTGTCTCTGGGACTGCCCTGCCCTAACCTGGGACCCAGAAGGGGCTCTAACAGGAGTTATTCTAGCTTGCTCTCTGGGCCTGAGGTTTTGGTAGCAGTGCCGAGCCAGTTATGGAGTTGGGAAAACTGGGTGCATTCTCCCTGGCTGGCTGGTAGTGGGTCTGAGTGGAGAAGACAAGAGAGCAGCAAAACACAGTGCACATAGCTGGCCGGCCTTCCCCTCAGCCATCTTTAAGTCTCCCACTTTATTTGCAGTAAAAGCCTCCATTTTTATGCTAAATTGCCCTTGGGGCAAAGATGCAGGTTTTCAGACTGAAGTACTTCTGGAGGTCTCATAATGAGGGACCCCTAGCTGCTCACTCCGTGACCTCTGGCAGGTCATACCGACTGGGATGCACCGGAGTGCCATGATCAACTATCACTATTGCCCTGTACCAGGTGCTTTCCCTTGCTGGCATCTCAACATTACTTCAGCCCTCCACCACTGTTCTACAGGAGACTGACCTAAGGGATTACGTGGAATTAAGCCTGACTCCAGCGATGGGCTGCTAACCCAAGGTGGGCAGTTCGACCTCACCACAAGGATGGGGCCATCTGCTCGAGGACAGTTCTCCCTGCCCCACAGGGTCCAGAGGAGCTGGAGTGGACTTGATGGCAGTGGGGAGGTGACTCCAGGGGGTGTGCAGACTTCAAAACCACACCAGCGGGAAGACACCTCCTCATGCCTGGTCTTATCCTGTGGCCTGCTCACAAAAAGGAAAACATAATAGGACCAAATTCTTGCTGGATTAACAGGGAGGAATCTGATGCTCACACAGCCTGGCAGCCTGGCCTGTTTTATTTCGAGACCCAAGACATGATGGATGTGTAACACCTGTCTGATGGCCCCTGTGAACATACTTCAGCTCCCAACTCCAGAGCCCAGGACAGGCCTCTCTTCTTCAGAAGGGGCATCCCAGGCCCACTCCTTGCACACATAAGACATCGTGGGACTCAGAAGCAGGGCTACCTGTTGACAAGGAGGCGCACAGAAGCCAAGGCCTCCCAGGCAACACTCATGGTTTTACTGGAGTGTTTGAAAAAGAAGTCACGGAGTTGAACTCAAGATCTTTATTAACTGTAACAGCAACCAATGGTGAGAATTTATTACTTTTTATTTCCAAACACCTGCTGGTTTTGAAGGACAGTTAAAATATAGATGACAGTTCCGCAGGCCTGCCTGGTGCCCCTATTATCCTTGCCCAGCAGCGAGATGGCTGGAGGGCTGAAGGGACGACCATGCAGGGGAGACAGGACATGCTGTCCGCCTCTGGTCCCCACGCCAGGGGAGCGGGCCATTGGCAGTACCAAGACAGGAAAAGGCATTTTCTTTACAAAACATCTGAAAGATGCGTCACACAGGACACCTAACCACGTGAATGTCCTCTGGGCTCTCCAGCCCCACCCCCCACCCCTTGGAAGGTTTAGTTAGTCCTGGGGCAACAGAGGAAGGAGATGGGCTCCATCTTTAGGTGAAGGGAAGGCACGGGCTGCCCCCAGCCGGTGGCGCTGCAGGCACCCACACGACTCACCCATTACCGCTACACTCTGCAGCCCCCCCCGCCCAGGTACACATGCCACGGTTTCGAGTAACCACCACCCGTCTCAGGCAGGGTTTCCTTTTCTTACAGAGGAAGTGGGCACACCGGGGCCAGACTGGATGCCCAGGCTAGAGCTGTGGAACCCTCGCAGCCTGGTTGTCTAGGAATTTTGGTTTTAAAGCACCGGCAAGAGCTCCCTTTGGAATCTCACGCAGCAAATGATTATCAAGCATCGCAGCATCTGTGTGTCAGCCTGCCCCTGCCCGTGCAAGGTGGCAGAGCGGAGTGTCCACTCTGGGACTTTTATGTCATCTAACTGAGGGCTCCGCATGGCACCCATGACATACAGTGTGGGCTGCCCGGGCTGCAGGCAGAGGCGAAATGAAGAGGAAACCACAGACCAACCGGGCAGGGACTCAAAGACCTCGTTAAATCTAGGCTCTGACCACTGGTCTTAGCTTTCGGGAGCAACTTAGGACATTTCAATTCCAGAGGACAGTTAAAGTGAAGTATTAATTGAAAACATTAAAAGTACCCATTATTAATAGTTTTTGGCCAAAATGTCTTGAGCTAGCCTCCAGGGAACTGCAGCAGTTAACCCAGAAAGCCATCACAGGACCAGGGCATGCTCCCGAACACAAGCCTTCTAAGGATGTGTGACCCAACAGCCTCAGAGCTGAAATTTTATTGAAAGCAGAGGTAAAGAACTGAGGTAACTATGTGCCCCTCTCCCCAAGTCCAGGCATAAATTGACCTCGCAAAGAAACGATGATTTGCTAAAGCAAACACTTCCCTCCCCCTCCCAGATGGCATGGATGGGTAGGTGACTGTGCTTCACAGGTTACTAAGTAGCTGCCCATATGCAATGTCGCCCAGGAAACTCGCTGAGCAGGAAGTTCTGAATCAGACACACAGGCAGTGGGCCCTGTTCTCAGAGGAGCAATGCAAAACAGAAAGGACCCTGGCTGGTTCCCCAAGTGGAGAGAAAAGACAAAGATTTGATGCTGGCACGCTGCTGCCACCATGCTGAGCCCTGCCTTGATTCAGCAGGCCCTCAGTATAGACTGGCTGCAGATGAGCTCTCTGGTTAGCTGCATTCTAGGAGACGAGGGCTTTCCACAGTGCTTGAACTGAGAAGGTATGGCCCGAGAGTTCCAAGGAGCAGGTAATCCAAGCGGCAGACAGGCCTTCCAAGTGGTCAGTGTGCTCAGCTGCTAACTGAGAGACTGGAGGTCTGAGGCCATGCAGAAGCACCACAGAGAAAGGCCAGACCTACTTCTGGAGGGGGAAAAAGAAGACACCAGAAAATCACGGGCAGTTCTACTCTGTCACCCACGGGGTTGTTCAAGTCCACACTGACTCCACGGCAACTGGCTTGGTTTTATTTTTTTTGACTCCGCCTCAAAAGAAGAATCAAAGAATGTGAAGGTCCGTGAAAGATGAGCGCTTTCCGTCTGAAGAAGTGCCTTAGAGCTGCCTCGGCAGCCATGCTGCTCAGGGGAGTACACGGTGAAGCCAGCAGAGCTGCAGAAAATGCAGGGCCTGACATTTCTAAAACCGTGGGGGAAAGGGTGTTGGGATACACGGCAGATGCTCAGTAAAACGAGACGAGCCCGCAGCCTGAACACCTTGTAGTCGGCGCTCCCAGCGGGTCTTCAGCCCGAGATTCCCTGCACCTCCTCAGCTCAGAGCAAGGGCCAACCTGACTTAAGCTCTCCTGAGATGACCAAGCAGCTTGACTGTGACCACTGGTGAACAAAGCAGAATCCACCCTCGCCAGCCTACCAAGTTCCTCTCAGCCCTGCAAAGTTTCATGCAGGCCCTGAGCCTGGTCATGCAGGTGGAAGAACAGGCCAGCAAACAAATCAGCAGCAAGAAAAAGTCCCAGTGACGACTGCAAATAAATTTTAAAATAATGGAAGTTTCCCACAAACTTTTGAAGCCCCCTTGTATGTCTATCACACAATTTTTGCCTGTTCAGTTATTTACAGGTTTAAACCTTATTGACAGCAATTACAAGAATCTGTTTGCAAGAATACCATTCCATGATCCATGGAGTTTTCGATCACCCCCACCCTCCACCCCCCACTTTCTGTATACTGACCCTAGTAACCACTAATAAAATTTTACCTCTATTAAAAAAGAAAAAGAACTGTGTGGAAAAGCTCCCGTAAGCTTCATGGTGAAGACCATGCTGGCTCTCTTTAGCAGCTCACTTCTACCAGGAAGCTCTGGACCAAGCAGGCACAAGCAGACACTTATGAGACACTGCTGCTTGGTGAGATACCTGGCCCAGGTCTCTTTAAACTGGTGGTTGGAGAGAGCAGGTCCCAAGCACTAGCTCTGGTGGGGAATTGACTTCTTATAGCAACATCTGCTTCACTACAAATGACTGTTTTTACCCCAATAACCTAACAACTAATTCACATTTGCTCCCTTTACTTTACAATCCTGATCCCAGTTAAATCGGCAGCAGTGGCTCGGCTGGTAGGATTCAATTCCCTGTCTTTGCCGATCCCTGGTTAAGAGAGGGAGCAAATGCATGGTGCATGAGTCTTAGGGACACTAGGCCTGAGTCTCGGAAATCTGTGTCCTTGAACTACTGATAATTGGCATTTGGACTTCTCACCTCCTGAGTCAGCAGCTGGATTTGGGGAGAGGGCTTGTCTGCTTTCAGTTTGGCAGCATGATTTGATTTGTTTTCAGTGGCAAGAGCACTCTCAACAGACTCTGTAAATTCTATGCTCCGGCTCCACGTACGAGGTGGGTGCATGTGGCGTCAGAGGCCACGTCATAGAAGGCACTGCAGCATCCCCCTAGGCCCTCTCTCTGGAGAGTGCCAGCTGCCCTGCCCTGAAGACACCTATGTAGCCCCATGAAAGGCCCACACGGGGACCGGGGGTCATCCTGCCAACAGTCAGAGAACAAGTGAGTGAGCTTGGAAGCAAATCCTCCAGCCCCAACTCATAGCCTGACCACAACCTCACGAGACCCTTCCTGGAGCTGCTCTCCAACCCTATCCCCAGAGGCTGTCCCCACACAGTGTGTGCTGGTTTGAGACTTCAGTGGCGATGTGCTCATACTTCGGTACACAGCGACAACAGAGATGGAAGGAGCAGTCTTGGCCTTGGAAGCCCCTTATCGAGAAAGCTGCCTCTCTGGGTCTGTGCACCTGAGGCCATGACGCTCACTTAGCCAGGATGGGAGGGAGGGGAGCTGGAGGAACCACATCAAGCAGGGAGAGCTGGCACACTGCACATCTCCTGCGGGCACTTGGAGAAAGCCATTTCTTGTTAAGCTGGTTTCCCCAACAAGGGCAGGAACAGGGTTTCCTTGTAAAAACATGAAGGTAGACACGAAGATTTAAGAAACCCGAAAAAAGGCCAGGATAACCCAAGCTACTAATCATTGGGGCTTCTCCTGAGAGGGCCCCTCTGACCTGTGGTGAGCCCTGACACTTGTGTTTTCCTACAAGCAGAAAAACACGGGGCCATCGATTGCAAGTTTGTCTCTTGCCTCTGGAATTATTTTGTCAATGCTGACTTAGGGCCATCCAAGGATTTCTAGCAGGGGCCTCCTTCCTGAGAAGAGCTGCAGCAAGCAAGCATGTAGAAGGCCCTGGGAGAGGACAGGGGGCCTGGCAGCTGCTCTGTCACACAGCTGACCCTCCCGAGAAATCCTACCTCCATGTCCTCCACTTGAGCCGCCTGCAGTCCCTGAGGCATCCGTCACTCGGCCCCTCACGGTTTCATCCACTACCCATTCTTCAGTGAGCACGTGGCGTTCTCACCTGAGGCTGTAAAGGCCCAGGAGGACACGCCTGTCGGCTCACTGGGAATCACCTTGCTGCTAGCTGTGGTCGGTCCCACGGATACCAAGGCTAGCGCGTCAAGAAGGAAGCTTCCTTCCCCAAAAACCACACTCCCCAGAGCACCAAGACCATAGCGTGACTTAACCTTTTCCAAGAGTCCACAAAATTAGGAGTTTAATAGAAACCAAAACTGGGGTATATTAAACAAACAAACAAAAATACTTTTTATGATCATCAGATTGGCATCCCCCAAACACTAAAGATCCATCAGCTTATTCCTAAGAGACATCAATCTTCACAAAATGTTAAAAAAGAAAAAAAAAAAGAAAGAAAACGTTTCGATCTCTGAACGATTCACATTTGGGAGCAGAACACAGCACAAGGGTCCTGAGCCGGCTTCCCTCGCTCTGTCTAGAGTGTGTTCTAAAGGTAAGACAACGGCTTGCTTTCTTTGCCAGCGGGCTGGCTTACTCTCACCCTGGGACGGGGTCTCTTAATGAGAGGGTTCAGGACACCGAATCAGGCCAGAAATACCCAGGACATACTTCACCATCTTCTGAGTAGGGACAGGTGCCCCAGCCAGTCTTCAAGTGGAGTCCCTCCCCTGTGACTATGGTGCCACTCAATATCCGCAGGTGGGTGGGATGGGATGAAGGGGAGCGAGAAAGAAAACCGGTAAGAGCATGAGGCCTTTCATCAACAACCCACAGCAGGGCAAAATGGGCCGGTTTCACAAAGCACCCACTACTCTCTCTAAACATGCACACCCAAACTGGAGGGGGACAGAGCTCACAGGGCCTGGGAGACACAGAATAAGGACTCGGAACCCCGGTCTTCCCTGGTCACTTCCCACCTCCCCAATACTGGAAGCTGTTTAAGTACAAAGTTGCTGTTCAAAAGTATACTGGAAACATCTCTAAAAATAGGTCTGTAGTCATCTTAAAAATAAAAGGTCACCCTCAGATAAGAGTGACAGATATTATCAGATACCAAGACTTGCAGTATCTCTGATACAAACGTGAAGGGGGAAAGGCCTGCCAGAGAAAATGGGAGGTTGGCTAGAAGAAAGGTGGGCTGTTCGGATCACAATGGGAAGGGAAGGAAACGGGAGAACATGCTTACGAGGGGGCTTCAAAAAATTCATGGGGAAAAACCTCACCATCTTCTCATTCCATTGGGCCCATGAGCTCTCTGAAGTGCCCTCGCCCATGATGATCTATCCCAGCACCCAACTAAAGCAGACCCACAAAGGGAAGATATTACATTGTGGGTTTTTTTTCCTTTTTTGTTTTTTTAAAAAGAACATTCAGATAGTCAATTCTCAAACTAGAAGAAGTAGGGATCTGAGAAAACAAACATGGCAATGCTAACTGGGCTGCTGGGTCTGGGTGTTCCAATAGGCCAACACTCCCCTGAAGACGTCCCAAGTATGACCGGGGGCAGCACTAAGGGCGGACCTCCCCAGCAAGTGGAGGCCTCACTGCCAGCTGCGGTCCCTTGGTGCAGGTGGTTCTGGGAGGACAGACCCGCCTGGGTTTCTCTGAAGGAGATCAAGGGACTGCAAGAAACCAGAAGCCGGCAGGGAGGATCAGGTGGGCTGGGAAGAGAGCAGCTGGTCACTGAGGGTCCCTCTCTGATACCATTTCAGACAAATGTACTAAGTTAAGGACAAGGAAGAAGAACACCACAGACGGGCGTGGGGGGTGGCAGCCTCCACACCATGCCTGAGGGCCACAAACCATGACCTGTCCCTAAGGACCTGCAACCTTAGGTCAAAGGGAAAGCAGCTCTGATTCTCTTCCCCTAAGGGTCAGACACATGAACAAAGTGAACCCGTCAAACCCCTGGATCTTCTTCCCAGATTTCCCAGTCAGGTGGCTATTGGTGGGTCCATATTTGACTTAGGACTTTTTGGGTTTTGGTCTCGACAGAATACTGACCAGGGAAGCTGGATTTGCTGTTTTCCTGTGAGGTGGCTTAGTTCTACAAAAATATGCTAAGGGTCTTCCCTGCAAACCTGTCTCACCGGGGAGGGGGGATTGGGAAACAGGGAGAGGAAATGATCAGACGAAACTCTTCTTGGCATCAGTTGGCACCCAGAGGAGGAGGCAACTGCTGGTACCGCCACTTCCGTCTTCTCATTGTTGATGCTATTGGCCAAATCAGGGACACGCAGGGCTGCTTTTCTGTTCCGTGCAGAATGGTCAGATGTCCATTTCAAACTGAGCGTCCTCCCCTAGTTAGGATGAAGAACACGAAAGTTTAGCACAAAAGGAAACCAAAAAGAGGAAACGGGAAAGCAGCCCTAACTGCCATCCCTTCTAACTCGCTGCAGCTCTGGGCTCTTGCCACGGCAGGGGAGCCTTCCAAGCACCATGCGGACACCAACAAGCAGAGGAAAAAGGGCACCCATTGCATGATCCCCCAGAGAGGTCTGGAAGAGGCCAATTCAGACACAGAAGTTGAATCGTGGCGATGGAGACTAGGGCGGAGAGACTGAGAAGTTATTCTTTAAGGAGTACCACGTTTGTTTGGGAGATGGAAACATTAGGGAATAAACGGCGGGGTGACTGCTGGACACTGTGAATGCAATCGATGCCACGACTTGCGTTTGCATACTGTGAAGATGGCGGTGTCCTTGTTGCACACATCTCAGAACAGGATGGTTTTAACAGCAGCAGCTCCTGGGGAGCGCTCTGCCACCTATTATGTTCAGCGTAACTCCCCACAGCCTTGAATTTTGGCCCTGCTCTGAATCGTCACTGTGTCCATTAAAAACCCACTGGGGATTTGAGGAAACAGAATGTAAATTCTAGTACCACCCCATCCAAACCCAACCAACCAACCGCCACTAAGTTGATTCCAACTCACAGGGGCCCCAGAAAACAGCAGAGCTGCTTCTTGGGGTCTCCAAGACTTGAAATCGCCATGGAAACAGAGAGCTGTGATTCTCTCTGGTGGAGTGGCTGATGCACTGGAACTGCCCAAAGCTCAAGCACAGAGGTCACCAAATGTAGGCCTAGCTTAATTCCCACCTCACTGCTCAGCTCCTCCAGGGGCCCTGGTGCCACAGTGGTTATGTGTTTGGCCGTTAACCACAAGGTCACCAGTCCCTCTGAGGGAGAAAGACAGGCTTTCTACTCCCGTAAAGTGTTCGTCTCGAAATCCCACAGGGACAATGCTACCCTCTCCCATAAGGTCTCTCTGAGTGGAATCAACCTGAATCTCTTTCTCTTTCCTTTTCCCTCTCTATGGGAGAAAGATGTGGCCTTCCGCACTTGTAAAGACCTAGTCTTGGGAAGAAGACAGTCCTATGAGAACTGGCTTGGTGCAGTGAGGTTTCCTGTGTGTCCGTGCCACAGAGATAAAGGTGAGTGTCACTCAGTGCCCGTGCGTGATGCTTGTTCGACTACCACAGGCACTTGTGGAAAACGGGGAACAAACCTCATGATGCTCCCCAGGCCATAAAAAGGACACTTCTGATCACAAACAAGCTCTACTTCCTGAAGGTGCTATGAAACTCTGCTCTTACTGTTGTTCGTTTTGGGCGTGTTTTACTCCAAGTCCAATAAAGTCTAGGTTAAGCAGTCCATAAGGTATGGTCCTAGGGGTTACCTTTTGGGTTTTCCATTCCCTCATTTTAGATCCCCTCTACATACCACCAAACAGATATTGGATAATGATTGAGAACGTGGTCTCCTGAACACTCCCATTAGCACTGAAGAACCTATGAGACATTCCTTCAACTGGCCGTCAGTTGCAACCAAAGCACCAACACTGTCCCACCTACAACAGGCTGGCATTCAAATTACCAGGCCCCCCGCCACCAGCATTCTCTTACCAACTGCATGCTTCCTGTCATGGCTGTTCAAGTTGTTCAAGTTGTTCACTTCTACTTTGGAGTCTTCAATTAGGGTGCTAGGGCTAGTGACTCCAGGAATATTGGGCAGATGGCAAGGCGGGGTCTGAGCCATGGGAGAATTGCGACGATCCAACAGAAACTTTCGATCATAAATGATTCGAGTTCCTGGAAAACAGGGTTGCAAAGAGTTTGAGACAAGTTCAGGTGCTGTTAACATAATTGATACCTAGGAGGTTCTCCTATCGATCACATCTAATCCTAGCCCTTACGGAATGTACTCCTCTTTTTAATGAAAACTTCTACTCATCCTACAAGACACAGCTCCAACATCACTTCCTTGATAAGGGCTTTTTAAGTTCCCATCGCCCACCCACCCCCACCCTTGCTCAAGACACATCACTAACAGGGCCCCTCCCACCACGTTTGAAATCATGTTTCTCTTTCTGCCTTCATGGCATGGTGTTTCTTATGCCAGGCCTCTGTCCTTAAGTAAATTGGGGGTGTGGAGGTTTTAAATGAAGGAATAAATATGTGACAAAATCGTCACTAGATGGAGAGCCGCCTTTAGTTAAAAGGCTTTCCAAGGCAGCACTGAGACCAACCTTCTTCCAGAAAGGGCTAAGGGAGAAACTGACCTGCCACTGACTCACCAAACACAACCTGCTAACCTACAAATCTGCCGTGTGTTAGCAACAACGGTTCTGATTACCGATAACTGTTTACCTGGGAACACCTGCTGCAGCCTGTCCCTTGTCAGTCTTCCCAGGATACTAATGGTGAGGACCATGCGGCAGTTTAGATCTGCTTGAGCCTCGCCAAGGAGCGCTGGTGGCACAGTGAAATCAACAACGCTAGACTGCTAACCACAACGCCATTGGTTTAAAACCCACCACCCAGCCATTGCTCTGTAGGAAAAGAACGAGGCTGTCTGCTTCTGTACAGTTAGAACCTTCAGAAAGCCTATGAGTTATGCTTTGACTTAAGACTCCAACTAGCTCATTAAGAAAGAACATGGTGGAAGTAGAAAAGCTGCAATTACTATGGTGTGCTCCTGTGTAGCTAAAATACGCCTCTCAAATCGTTGCTGCCCAATGTCCAGCCAGGGTAGGGGTGGGGTGGGGTCTTGCTCTCCTAAGCAGGCTCAAGAAGGACTTTATTGCGACCCTGTTCTCACTGTTCGTGTGTTTTTAAAAACATGGCAAAGGTTCAGGTGAACAATGCACTGGTGCTGGATAACTCTTCTCTCTACAACCCATTCCAGTTCAAGATCACCTTTGGGTGCACTGAGGATTTACCTGCCTGAAGACTTGGAATGGAAAATTACCTCCTCAGGCTCTGCGGGGGGCGGGGGTGGGGTGAAGAATACCATCAAGTTTTAGACTGCTTAAGCAGGACCTGTGCGTGCAGGGAGGCAGGCTGGTGCACCTAGCCCAGGACTCCTTCCAGATGCAGTAAGTGTAACAGTAAGTTGTGCTAATCACACACACCTATTGAGGTTAAGAATGTATTAGAATTGGCTGTCATGTAAATACTGAATGCACTGAAACAGAATTAAGAGAAAATTCACCAAAACCAGACTTTTCTAGGCCCCAAAGGAACAATCTGGCACCTAATTCCAGGGTCACAAGATTGCACATTAATTGGGAAGAGAAGATAATGCAGAGAGCAGGCACCCAAATCTACATTCTTCTCTCAACAGACACCTTGCCTTCAGCATCAACGGGATGGTCCACGCCAGGATCCCACAAGGACTGCATGTGACCACCTGCCTCCCTTTCAGTCCAAAGTAAGCTACGAAAACACAGAACTAGTCCCTGAAATTCCTTAAATACAGTCAAGACACCACGTGGAGAATTTGTTTAAAAAAGCATCCTGTAGAAAGTCTATTTAAAAACTAGTATTTGAACAAACTGTGGAATATAAATACAACTATTTTTAAGTTGAAAAAAGAGAAAGAATGTATTGGGGATCACTTAGAGATGTCTGCCAAAAGAGGTGGTAGCCAGAGCCTGGCTCACTGGCCACCCTACGTAAATAAAGTGGAGGTGTGCAGCTCAGTCGGCTTGACTCCAGGGGAAAAACCTGCACCATGGGTTTGGGCACCCAAGTGAGAGAATGTTACAAAGACAAGTAACCCTCAAGCACCAGAGGTTTGGTCCCAGAGCACTGCAATAAGCTGAGACAGACTGTGCTGCTGTCGCTTCCGAGTGGAGGAAAGCTATTAGGTATACAATCACATCATGAGAAAGTGTGAAAGGTGCTTTCTGTTTTCAATATTTTCTGCTTTCTTTTCTATTGTCATTTTTCTCTCTTGTCTAGTCGTGGCTGTTGGGTTTTCGTTTGTTTGCTTGCTTTCTTCCTGTTTGTGTTTTGTATTATCTTCTGTTGACTGAAATCCAGGAGAGAGAAATCTAGAGACAGTACTTGGGTGAAGAATTACCTGTAGGCACTGCAGGGTGGGTTGGGTGGGAAATAGGGAGCCAGTTCTGAAGCTGATAGTGGTGCTGACTGCAAAACTCTTAACATGACTGAACAATTAAACTGTATGATATGTGAAGTATATGCCAATAAAAAGTAATCAAAGAAAAAGTTTGCAGTATTGTGAAAAGTACCAAAATGTGACATGGAGACCCAAAGTAAGTACATGCATTGGGGGGAAATGGTGCCAACAGCCTTGCCACAAACCTTCAGTTTGTACAACACGCAGGACCTATGATGTGCAATCAAACACAGCCTGGCAGTATAGAAACCTGTGTACTAGGCTACTCCGTTTGAAGTGGTAGAGTATAAATACTGCATGCTTGTAAAGTGCTTTATATTTACCTTCTCAAGTGTGTGTGTGTGTGTTTAACCACAAAACTCTTGTCATGTTATAACAAGGATAGTTTGACTCAGACATACTTTCTCAAACAACATATGATGGCTATATCCCAGGCACAGAATAATAGAATAGCTGACAATTCTTTTTGAAATATGAGGGAGCAAGTGGGGAAAAATGCCAGACAAGAGAACTGTAAACTCTAGGATCTTCCCAAACAAAGGAAAAGACTTAATTTAATAAGTAAGCTACTTATTATTTTATTTATTTATTTAATAAGTAAGCTACTTATTTATTTCAGGGTACAAAACTGACCCCAATCTACAATATGATTTAAGGGCAACATTTATTAAGTCCTAAAAGACACAGAGACAGACCTAGCATCTGAATGAAGGCAGTCATTAATTAGCAATGAGGTCATAATAGTGTCCCAGGAGAAACTGTCACATGACTGGTGGCAGATCAACACATCACAGTGACAGGTGGGGCCACAGACGCAGGAACATGACCATGACTGGGGAAGTTACATTATGTTAAATAGAAAAGCTTACAAGATTGGCACAAGGCATCTACTAAGTCCACACAGAAGCATACCAGCCGGTGTGAGCCAAGGATTATATATAACAAAATCAAAATCTGGAGGGGGGAACTGTATCAGAGCCTAAATTCTGAACACCCAGTTTACAGAAGGCTATAGATGACAGTGGAAGCCCCAAATCCATTTGTAGGGTCCTTACATGGATTTAAGCGTCTGATGGATTTCCTACCAAAGCCCAGGGATGTGAATAGTTGTGCTAAAAAACAGGTTATTGTAAAGTCTACTATGGCAAAAGTAGTTTAGGTTAAAATGTAACATCATCATTTGATTTCCTTTTTGACCCATTTTTAATTTGTTCCAATTTTTAATATTTTCTGCTTTCTTTTTGATTGAAATTGCTCCCTTTTGTCACTGTTATTTTTGTTTGTTTCTTGATGTGTTTTGTAAGCTCTTGTATATATAAAATCCAGGATATGTAAAGCTATAGCAGCAGTACTGGATAAATAGCTATCTGACATTGGGGAGGTTGGGGTAAATAAGGAGCCAACAAAAGCTACAAAAAATTAGAAAATGTTCTAAAACAGATTGTGATGACTGCACACCTCTTCTTAATAGGACCAAACTACTGAACTACGTGTGAATTTATCCCAATAAATAAATAAAACAAACCTACACCAAATCAATCACACTTAAAATATCAGAGGTAGTTTCTTCATATCAAATATCCATCCAGTGTTCACATTTCCTTAAGTGGCTCAAAAATGTTTAAATTATTAAAAACGTGTCCAAATAAAAATCTAAGCAAAAGCAATAAAAGAAGCCAGATTGTTTTTCGGACCAAGGCAGTCAGGGCATGACTATGAGATGACCCCCACCCCCACTACTGTCCACCATCAAGCCAGACTCAGGCAAGCCCCTAAGAGAGACTGCCCTTCCCAGAGTTGGCTGGAGAAGGGCAGAGGAAAATTTGCTTTCTAATGCACGCTGCCTGAGGGCAAGATTCTCTACAGCCTTTGTTAATGAGCAGAAGGAATTCAAAGGAGCCTCTGCAGTGTTCCACAGCCTTTGGCAAACCTAGTGCTCAAAATTTAAAGTTGAATACAATATTAAGCTAAATAATTAGGAAATGCATTCAAAATCCAATTTTATTTATACAAATGCTAGTAAGTAACTTTCTGTGGCTCAGGTAGAAAATCGTCAAACTGTTCCTTCTAGGTTTTGAGGAAATGGCTAAACAGCGCCTCTTACCAACACCTCTTTATGTAACTACAATTAGGTAGCATGCATGGATAAGTGTTGGGCTACTAACCACAGGGTCAGTGGTTCAAATCTACCAGCAGCTCCACAAGACAAAGTTGAGGCTACTGCTTCCATAAAGATTCACAGCTTCAGAACTGACTCCATGGCAGTGGGTCTGGGTTTGAGTGGATTATGAATTTGGGGGTATACTCCCTATATACTACGTCTGTCAGTAGCAGGAAAGAATGGAAACTGATCCAGGATGTCCTCCAATGGGCCTTAGCACATGAACACATTTCAAAAAAAAAGTTTAAGGCTTTTAAACCAACCCCAAAGGAAAATGAGTTTCTTTCTTACTTTTGATTTCTGTAGTAATGCCGCACACAAAGATGTATGGCTTTAGGAAGTGGAAATAAAATACCAGGCTCTCAGTCTCTCTGTAATATCAGGTAATCATTGGACTGCAAACTGCAAGGTACTACCAGCCAGTGCGCTACCCAGGGAAAAGAGGAGGCTGTTTGCTCCCATGCAGAACCTGTACAGAGTTGCTGTGAGTTGGAATCGAGTGGATGGCAGTGCATTTGGTTTTAATTCTTCTACTTCTGTTGATGTGACTGAGACACAGTTTTGAAAATTG